TTAATTAATAGGACAATATCAACTAATGGATGCTTTGTGCTTTAATAAAATCTTAATGATAACTTCAGCCTTAAATAGAGGGAAATAATAATCTTTGACAAAAATAATTCAGAGGAAGAATTTCAGAATCATATATATTAGTTTATATATTAGTTTAATTTGGATACCAAAAATAAAAATATCCAGTTAAAATACAGTATATTTGATATAAAAAATACTCTGACCCTGATCTAAATAAAATACAATAAATAGGTATATTACCAAGGAACTGCTACTAAAGGTCTCTAAGTGACATATTTGGTGTTGTACCAAACCTCTAACAAGTATCATCAAATAGATACAGAATTTCAAGATATCTAGATGAATATTTACATAGTAAAGATGAATTTTGAGAACCCAGATATATGCATACATATAAATGTATATGTGTACCTATCTACCTGTATATACAGTAAGAACCATACCCAGGGCCAGGAGGTGGTGTAGTGGTTATGGAAGGGTGGCACCGGACTCACATGTGGCCCACTGTGATTTGAGTGCTAGACCTGGCAGTTTGAAAATCACACTAGGGGTGTGTGTGTGTGTGTGTGTGTGTGTGTGTGTGTGTGTGTGTGAATGCCCAAAATCCCAGGAGGAGAATGGAGGAGAAGGGACTGTGGCATAGCCATCTGCCCTAAAAGGTGATTTCTTACTTTCCCTCTCACTGTCTCTCTCTGTCTCTCGGAAAACACATGTGCGTTATGGCAAAAACCTCAAGCCATACCTTCCCCCCTTTTTTTCAGTGCAAGGGAAAGTTTAGTTTTTACCAACTCACAAGTTTTGGAAATAATCAGTTACTGCCTTTAAGAGTATATATGGCTTAATTTATACATGCTGTCAATTTTCTTTCTCTACCATCCCACTAATGTATGATTTATTACTCAGTGTTACCATTCCAAATGAAGGAGTTGGGTCAGATCTATCCTTAATCAGTCATCCTTCAACAAATACGTATCAAATGCCTATTTTGTGCTAAATGTTGTTCAAAGTGAAACGACGTTTGGAAAATTGGTTTTTATCTTAATACCTATGGAAACCTATAAAAGAAACTATTTGCTAAGGTTTTCAGTTTGATTCCATTCTAAATCCTGTATATTTTTATGATTTAATTCGAAATAAGCAATTTGACAGGGCTGCAAAATGACCTCCAAAAAAAAAAAAAGACAAAAAAGGAAAGAAAAGAAAACAATGAAACTGCTGGCATTCCATTAACATAATTAGAGAGCCTCTTGAAGAATCAGCATGCATGATCATCCTACCCTCAGGTGCAATAGAACATTTCAGGACAGCATAGCCATTATAGTTCTGGTGTTACGATATCATCAATTTTTTTTCCCCCTAAGCTCGGAGGGCCGTTGGCCACTATCTCATAGGCTCATCTCTGGGTCGTGGGTTTTATGAGTTTATGCAGCATGAAAATGTGATCAGTGGAAGCCTGTGTAGGTACACTAAATTAATTGATATGGCATTTGTGGGTGCTGAGTTACAGAAAACTCTATCAGCTGATATAAGAAGATAATTAGATCATTTCAAATTAAATAACTAGACCTCATCAGGATAGTCCTACCAAACTTCCAACTCTCCTAGATGAAGCAATGAAAAACATGGAAGATTTAAGTCATTCTCAAGTGGAGGCAGTTTTGCCTCTAACAGGGTAATTGGCAATATGTGGAGACATTTTTGGTTTCCACAGATAGGACTGGGCCAAAGGTGGGGGCCAGGGAGTGGAAAGCAGAGGCCAGGGATGTTGTTAAATATCCTACAGCTGAACCGGATACAGGGCATCTTCTACAACCTCAAAAATGTCAGCAGTGCTGAGGTTAAAAAGCCTTGCCATGAGGCTAGCAGGTGGTATGGTGGGTAAGGCGCTAGATTCTTCCATGGCTGATGTCAGTTTGATTTCCGGACCTGGTAGGTCAGATTCTCTCCCTCTCTCTCTCTCTTTCTCTCTCTCCCTCTCCCTTCCTCTCTCTCTCTCTCTCTCCCTTCCTCTCCTCTCCTCTTCTCTCCTCTTCTCTCCTCTCCTCTCCTCTCCTTTCTATCCCGAACCCTTAGCCTAACCCTCTTCTCCCTCTCCTCTCCCTCTCTCCTCTCCCTCCCTCCCTCTCTCTCTCTGATGAGTATATGTGCCCTATAGCAAATTTAGAAAAAAAAAATAGAAGTAATTCTAAAAAAAGAAATCCTTGCCTCCATACCTTTTAATATGTTACAAATAGCTTTGGCTTTCTGAAAGGAAATAGCTGTCATATAGTTAGGGACATGCTTTTTTGTTTGTGTTTTAGAGTTTTTTGCCTTAAGGCATGTGTGATCCCTGAAGAGAGAGACAGACACAGTAAGGGAAAGTGAGAAATTATCCCCCAGGAAAATGGCCACACTGCAATCCCTTGTCCTCCATTCTCCTCCCAGGATCTTGGGCATGTGTGCACCCTTGCCCAGTATGATTTTGAAGCCACCGGATCTGAGACCTGAACCGTGGTCAGCCATGCAAGAGTCCAACGACATAACCACTATGTCATCTGCTAGTCCCAGGGACATGCTTTTTAAAAGTAGATGGGTGAGAGGAATGAACTCAGAAGAGCTAAGAATGTTTTGGGTACTTTTTATTTGTATTTTTATACTTTTACCTAGATAATTGGCATCCACTAGTGGTTTATTACATTTATCAGCAGATTACTGCCCTCTTTCTGTGGTGGCTTTCTTCTGCTGAATATCCAGTGACTTTTCCTCATCTTTAGGTGAAGCTCAACAATCCTCCATGGAGAAGCCCCTGGAGAGATTCAGATCTGTCCTAGCCTGTGCTCTCCTATGCTTAGATGTAAATAGTATTTTGCAAATGGGATTAGTTTAAAGGTTTTTTTTTTTTTTTTTAGATTTTTCCTATAGAGTGTGTGTGCTCACCAGAGACAGAGAGACAGAAAGCGAGAAACCACCAGCCTCCCTCCACACACACACACACACACACATACACATACACACACCATGTGGATGGCCATGTCACAATCCCTTTTCCTCCATTCTCCTCTCAAGATTTTGGGAATACATGCACACGTGCCTGTCATGAGTTTTTAGCTGCACGGGTGGTAGCTGCAAGGGAAGCCTTATAATTTATAGCAGTGGGGGAGGGTAGAGGAAGAGCATCTTTGTATGTGAAAGGAGCTCAGTGATAAAACTCAGGACCTCTCTCTTCCCATATCCTCACTCTGCACCAGAGGGAACACGATGTGCTCTCTGATTGATAATCAGCTACGGATGCTCATCTCAGCTTCTCATTTCTTCTCTGTGGGAGGAACCTTCCACAGAGGGTTTAAATTCTCTGCTGCTTGTCCAGGGGAAGACTGTTTTCCCCCATAGTGACTACCTCTGTCTGGGCCTCTGTGATGGAATAGGCAACTCTGTCCAATTATAAGGTCCATTTAGGGAAGCCTTTTTGGCTCTCAAACTTAAACTATATCCTCAAAAGTAGATCTTATTAGTAATAATGGTAATAGTTTAGCTCCATTCATTCTATCTTTTGTCTTATTTCTCGCTTAATTTTTAACTCTTCTAACTTGTAAAAAATCTTTAAAATATGGGACTAGCAGATGGTGTAATGGTTACATCACTGGACTCCCATGTAGTTAATTGCAGTTCGAGTCCCAGAGCCAGCGGCTTAAACTAACACTGGGTGCACATGCGTGTGCGCCCAGGATCCCAAGAGGAGAATAGAGGAGAAGGGATTGCAGGGTGGCCATTCCCTTGGGAGTGATTTCTCACTTTCAGACTCTCTGTCTCTCTGGCAGGAGCACATGCCCTATAGCAAAAATCTCTCTTAAAAAATGTTGTAGCCATAAAAATGCATTACTTTCAAGTTAAAAATAAGTAAAAGATTGAGGAGTATTTTAACTTTCTAGATAGACAAAGAACATAGTGGCTGTAATGTCAAGTATTAACAAAAGGCAATTTTAAAAGTGAGTAAAATAAAGTGTTAAAAAAACCAGTACGGAAGTATAAGGACAAATCACAGCCAACAGCCTAATGAATATTGCATGCAAACCATGAAATCGATTTCCTAAGGAGTATGCAATGCAATGTTTTCTTTCCCCAAAAATGGCTCCCTTGGTGAGTTGCAGAGAAGGATGGGGCAGATGGCACCACTACGATTTTTCTGTTATACCTCCTGACCCAACAATATACTTTCTCCCATCTCTCCTTATAGAAATTACTTTCGCTCATTGCAGGGGTAATCTTTACCCTGGGCATAGACGTACGGGTGGTGCTGGAATCAGAATACAGACACATGGGCTGCGATAATCCTCCTGTAGCCCTGCCTTCTTCCTTTGGTGGTTTATGAGCTCACAGATGCTGGACCAGTGTTCAGTCCATAAAATTAAGACATTCAGTTTGACAGGGCCAAATCTAAACTGCTGAAGCAAGGAAACTAAAGCATGAAGTGGTGACTTAAAAAGGAACTAGAGCCATCTAACCCACACTAAAAATCAACCTGGTTTCAAATGAAGACCTTTAGATGCCACAATATTTCTAAAAAAAAAGAAAAAAAGAAAAGAGAGAGAGAGAAAGAAAAAACTATTATTATGAGAATACTAAGACACAAATGAGAATAACAAAATAATACAAGACCAGTTCAATTAACCACTCTGCTCTTTTATTTCATGCTCAGTTGTTGGGAGAAAAGAATGTTTTCATCAAACAATTGAGGTGAATGAATTTAAAGATATAAATGTAATCACCCAGAAAATTACATTAACAAATAGTTTTTCTAAATGAGCACTATAGATATTCTCTCTGTATAATTGTTGCATTTATTGACTATTCTTCACTTTTAAATGAAGATAGATTCTAGGCCTGGGTAAAATACCATCAGGATGAATGCATCTCTGGGAGCTACTATTCGAAGTTGTTGAACTGTTGGGTAGATTACTCCTGTCTTAATTTCATTTTCTATTGCTATTTGTATTTTTCAGACTCACTATGAAAATGGGGAATACATCATCAGGCAAGGTGCAAGAGGGGACACCTTCTTTATCATCAGCAAAGGAAAGGTAAGAGTTGGTGGCACTAAACAGTGATGCACAGGGGACCCCTGTAGGAACACGTCTGCAGTCTTGTGCTGTGTGAGCCTAAGAGAGAAATATTTGATAAAGGATATCCTAAAAAGTGAGGCCGAAGGAAGAAAAGGTTTAACATTGAAGATCAGTAAGTAGCCTGCATGCCAATAATCAAGACACAAGTTACTACTAGTATTCCTGTGTGAATGAAAGATCTCTATAATTAAAATGATATAATATACAAGAAAATCAAAGATTACTAAAGAAAATCCATCCAATTGGTAGCAGCAGTAATACTGAGATAACAAGACATCTAGACTTTGAAATCATATGGCATAAATTTGATTACTGCTATGAAACCTGCAAGTTTTAGTGTCCTCAAGTTTTATTTACCAGTGTCAGGGCAATAGGATATAAATATATTTGTTTTTTTATTGTAATTTTATAAGAAATAATGAATAGATACTAACAAACTACTAAAAATGGTAAACTATAGGGGAAGAGTTAAAATGGGATAGATAGGCTATGTGAATGAAAATCATACTTTATTCCTTGTATTGTTATTTTAATAGTTTTTCAACAATATGAATCTATTGTAATTTGCTTTAAAACTAAGAAAAAGTAGGCGAATTAGAAATGGAAATTTATTTAGATCGTCTAGTCTTGTATTATTAAAAATGCCTTAAATTTTTCTCAGTAGTAAATTTATAAATATTTTTATTTGTGTCATTGCCCTATAATCTACAATTTGAACTTATGCTTCTTTATCATAAATTATCTTTAAAATGAATTCCTATATCTGTATTAATTATCAAAAGATATAGATAAGGACATGCAGGTAGATGAGGACTTATAGGTTAGTTTTTATTTTTAAATATGAAGTGAATTTGGACTGACTCTGGCACACCAGTATGCACTGCTCAGGCTAAACTATTCCCCATGTGAAGACCACCGTTCGAATCCCTGGCCTGGTTTGCCTGAAACATGCCAGGCACATCAATTGACTGCCCAAGATGAAAGGCTAGAGGACTATAGGAAAGAAATCATGGCATGACCAGAACATATGGAGACTGTCTCTCTCTCTTTCTGTCTCTCGTGCATGCACATACAGTCTATTACAATTTTTTAAAATATTTAAAAAATGAAGTAAATGTATTCTTCTAATTTATCAAAAGGAATGATTCTGGTCTCCCATAACTCAAATAGAGGTTTATAGAGCCACAGTGAACAGAGTATATAAAACATTATAGGACTTGTTGTGTTGGATCACATTTTAGGTAATCTTATTCTTATTTTGGATTAATTTTTAAGGTATGTGGATGTCAATATTTACACCAATGGCATATCACACTAAAATGAAGGAAGTAATTTGTATATTTTCAAAATAATTATTTAATTTTATTAATCATTATTATTGTTTTTCTTAATTTGCTATAGGGCACATGCCCTCACCAGAGAGAGAAAAAGAGAGACAGGGAAAAGTGAGAAAGTAAGCCACCAGGTCTCGGACTCTAACCCTGGTCGGCCATGTGGTAGTCCAGCACCTTAACCACCAGGCCATCTCTGGCCTCAGCAATGTATATACTTAAATCATTCCTGTTCTTTTGACTCATATCCACAAGCTTGAGATAGAAAGTCAGAGACTAGCTTCTTAAAAAAAAAGGTATCATGAATGACCTGTTTGACTACCGTTTGGTTAAAATTGCTTCTTGTGTCTTCCAGTGTTAGCAAATGAAAAAAAGGTTCTTATTTTTTAGTTTCTATGATTGATTAGAAGAGCTTACCATTTACTGTTTTATTATTAAATATGGATTAAAAAGTCAGGAAAAAATGAAACTGTCTGTGGACAGGAATTATTCACTTGGTCACAAGGGGACTTTTATCTTGGTGAACTGGATTTATCTTTCCTTTACTACATTGCTAATTCTGTGCTATCATGGAGTGATGATTTTATCCATTGAGATGGCTTTCTGGCAGGCTTTTGTGACCACTCAAAGATCCCAAAGTTCCTGCACTGCGTGAAAGATGTAGTGACTTGTGGCCCAGCCATTGCGGTATAGACAGTAGCACACCATTCTGCAATGCTATAGCCACACGAATGATCTGTTTAGGCTCCCAGAGGACATACACATGTGTGTACCATGACCCTGGCTAACCAGAGGGCTGAGGGAGGGGAAAAGGATCACATGTGAGGAGTTCCTATTGTGGATGTTGTCTTATTTTCTCTTTTTCATGAAAGAAATGAAATAAATAAACATAAAAGAAAAGTAGTGGTTGGGACCAGCAGATGGTGTAGTGGTTACATTACATTGCTAGATTCCCACATGGTTGACCACAGTTCGAGTCCCAGACCTAGTGACTTATAACTCAAGACAGGAGGATGTGCGTGAGTACCCAAGATCCTGGGAGGAGAATGGGAAAAGGATTGCAGTTGACCATCCCCCCTGGGGGAGTGATTTCTTATTTTCTCTCTCTCTGTCTCTCCAGTGAGCACACAGGCTCTATAGCAAAATCTCTCTCTCTCTAAAAAAAGGTAGTGGTTTGTAACTAGTTTTAGCTGAAGTCAGGTGCGCTAGTGGTGCTGTTTTATGAGTTTTGTGATAAGTATAAATAGAAATAGCATGGGAATGACACCACAGACACCAGTTCTCTTGGCAATATTTCAGAGCACTGTGGGACTTCTGGGAGAGAAGTAGCAATGATATATGAGATTCTCTTCACACATTCGAGATTGTTTTTAAAACCAGGTGTAGATTTTTTTCTAACTGCAATTTTCAGGACACTAAAATTAGTTGCTATGAGCCTTAATTATGTTAATCATATAGTGATTATAATTATAGTATAATTATAATTATATAATATATAAACATAAAAGAATATCATATATAATAATGTATACTATAATGTTTGTTCATTTTAACTTAGAAAATGAGACTAATGTACTGTACTGGGCTTTATATAGAGAGAGAATAATTCCATTAACAAAGAAAATGTGCTAATTAATGCTGATTCAAGTACAGAGAACTAACTCAGCTTCAGAAAAGAGTTACTTCAAAGTTTTTGTTATTAGGTTTCTTTTTGTATGGGAGTGCTTAATGGTAGAATAAAATATGTTTTATATTTAAATAAAGATGTTTCACACTTAAATAGAAAGAGGCACGTTATTACCACTTCTGTTCAGTGTGGTCTTAAACGGCCCAGCTATTGTAGTAATTCAAGGAAAAGATACACTTTTTGAAAAAGAAGAGACAGTAATTGTTTACAGATGAAATAAATTTAATTTCTTTTAGTTTTTTTTTAACATAGACAGATATATTATTAAAATTAGTAGGAGTTTAGTAAGATCAGAAATACTGAGTACATTTTTTTTTTCTGTTTCTGTGGAACTGTTCTCTATCTACAAAGCCCAATGTGGTAGTCTTTAATCCTATTTGTGATCTAAATTCAAATTAACTACTCTAATATTATAGGGTAATTAATATAGTATATGTTGATACATTAACTATACAATGAGCTACTGTAGGTTAATACAGTAATTATATTAAGTGTAACTAACGTATTAGCATCATTCTATGAAGTCTTAAAAGCAGCATGGGAGCGTACTTAAGCTCCAATGGCAAGATACAGGAAAAGAGAGACGGAGAGTAAGAGAGAGGTTCAGGTCAGCGGGAAAATAAGCTATAGAAAGGGAATTTTCTAACACCGTTTGCTTTGTTTCGGAGATACAGATGCCAGCTTGTTTTCCCATATATTTAAAAAGTTTGAAATGTGACCCTGGCAAAGATATTTTTCCTTGTTACATCTGCGCTGGCTTTTTCTTAGAAAATAGGGTAGGAGACACACAATAGGAGGCTGCAGAGCTTTAGATGGATTTTCCCTTTTTAATTCCATTTATTTAAGTGTAAAACATTTCTTATTCTTCCATTAAGCACATTCACACAAAGAGAACAACGGTATGAGATAAGTTCCCATTAAACCTGCACAAACCAATTTTTCTAACACTTGCAGGAGAAAGCTAGTGGCGATGATGTCTAAAGTGCCTGGTGCTGCCACTGGTAGAAGCTGAATTCGTTTTCTATACTTTAGTCAGTCTATTCCAGTTGTCTGCAAACTTGGCCTTCTCCCTCAGCAGTGAACTATATAGCACCAAACAATTCTGCTTGTCTCTGTAGTTTTGTTGCATGGAGAAATGAACTTTCTCTCCATAGTAAGCTGAACCAAAGTACGACAGGATTGGTAGACAAAAATGTTTAAGTTCCAATACTAATTGAAATGTATTTTATATTTTTCTGGTTGTATTCACTATACTTTGTGTAGTAGTATTAGAAAAAGCATGACTCAACATTTTTTGCCCATTAAATGCTATTTAAATTTGCATGGTTTTGTAAGTACTGAAAAATAAACCAATCATCTTAACATATCTTAACTTTTGTGAACCTTGTTTTATGGATAACTTTTCAGTTTTCCAAAACGTTGACACATTTCAATATTTTGAATGCATCCATGTTAATTTTGAGTTGGTAGAGAGAACCTAACCACTTTTCAGTTTTCCAAAACGTTGACACATTTTGAAATTTTGAATGCATCCGTGTTAATTTCGAGTTGGTAGAGAGAACCTAACTAATCACCACTATGTTTTGGTACAAAGAAATATACCTTCCAGTAATGTTATTGAAATGTTAAAGGAAAAAATTACATGGCCTTGCTTCATAGAATCAACAGTGTTTAAACATGTTGGTTAAACATACTGGCTTAATACAATGCTCAGTGTTTTTGAACATGAAAAATGTTCTCTTGTGTAAATTTAATTTGTATGTGTATACATAAGTGTATGTATATATTATAGTGAAACGTGACAAGTATTTCCTTAAGATCAGAAGTCCCCAGCCTTTTGGGGGACCAGTTTCACAGAGAACAATTTTGGGGGACCAACATTTGTGGTGGGGGTGTGTTGGAAATGACTCAAGCACATTACATTTATTGTGTACTTTATTCCTATTATTATTACATTGTAATATGTAATGAAAGAATCACCTAACTTACATACATAGTATGGAAGAAATAAGAAGTTCTATGGATATGAGTGCATACTACCCAAATGGAGGCAATGAATTTCACCTGCTTATATTAAAATGGATAAATCAGAACCTCAGGAAGAGGGGCCCAGTAACCTTTATTTTAAATAAGACTCCCTACTAATGCTTCTATGTCTATAAAAGCTTCATCAACATGCAAATTAGTGTCTCTATGATACAGCTTCATGGTAAGTAAGACTGTTAAAAACTGAGTTTCCACGGTTTTGAAACACTGTGTGGAGGAGTAATCAAACGGATCAGTGGAGAATAATAATTGAATTCTCTCCACTTTGCACAGACCTTCTCAATACTTACAGAAATTCTGGTCTTTGACATCCAATCTTTAGATTCAGTACCACAGTATTTTTTTTAATGTGTTTTTTGAAATGTCTGGCATTGTCTCAAGAAATTAGTTTTTCTACTTCATTACATTTTCCAGGTAGGCCAATTTTAACTGTTTAATTTTTCTGGGTGACACATAGACAGCTATTATGAATATTAGTAGAGCTTGTGGGGAAAGCGAATTAACACAAAAGCACAACGTCCTCCACTTATGTCTTCATTCGTGCAACAACAAAACACTGTCGCTCGCCTTCTGTGGGCTCTTAACCAAGTCACAAGTCCTGCTTGGGCTGGGATATCTGGTCAGTAATAAAGCTTTTCTTAAACAATTCACAGCATTTTCTTTAGTTTCTATTATAAATTGTAGAGAATGGCAAAGAAATACCCCTTTCTTTGAAGGATGTAGTATTTATTATGGCTGAAAAAGAGACAGGCAGGTACTTTATATAGTTTTTAAAAGAAGAAATCCTCCCCAGTGAAACATGTAAAATAGATCGTCTGGGATGTGGTCAGAGCCCTGCAGGAAGGTACCGTGAAAGTGTGATGGGCCTTTGATTGAAGGCTGACTTCTTCTTAGGGAAAGTCATAGGTAAGCATATACAGGCAGAGATGGGTAAAAGCACGTTCATCCCAGAAAACGGTGGAAAAAATATAAAGGCCTATTTTCAAAAAATTGTTAAATAGATATTTTTATATAATGGAATAAGACGCTAAGAATATAAATGAATAAATTTGAATAAACTGCATTTATATGTAATAGCATGGAATAAATAAAACAATGCTTAAATAAATAATGAGAGAAAAATAGTGAGTTGTAAAGTGATACATATTGCTTACAGTTTTCAACATATATTTTGAAAACACAATTATGTAAACACTTATAGAAAGACTGGCAGGTTACTCACAACATTATTTATAGTAGTTGTCTCATAGAAGATAGGAGAATGGGAATGGCTATGAGGATTGTTTGAGGTTTAAATTTCCTAAAAATATATTCTTTCTTTTTTTTTTTTTTTTGTGAGAGTTTTTTGCTATAGGGCGCGTGCACTCACCAGACAGACAGAGAGAGACATAGAGACAGAAAGCAAGAAATCACCCCCCAGGGGGGATGGTCACGCCACAATCCTTTCTCCTCCATTCTCCTCTCGGGATCTTGGGCACGCACGCACACGCACCCGGCATGAGTTTTAAGCCACCGGGTCTGGGGCACGAACCAGGTCCGGGACGCAGTTGACTACGTGGGAGTCCAGTGACATAGCCATTACTCTAACTGCTGGTTCCCGAAAATATATTATTTCTAGAAAGCAACTTGAAAGTTTATCAAACTATTTGGAGGTATGATTTGCAGGGAATTTGTGATATTTCTTGGCCCAATAATGTAATTTAAATTTTCTTAATATTTGAAAGGTGATGTTTTAGAATTTTTTGATAGCTTCTTTCATGAGCTAGAGGGAGACAAAGAAAAAGAGAGAAGCACCTTCAATAGAGTCTCACACCATGGTCCTCCCCCGCCCAGTTTTCCCAGCCAGTCAGGAACATGGACACACACACGTGCATCTGGTGTGCACAGGTGAACCCCAGGAATCAAACCCAGGTCTTCCACATGGCTTCCGGCATTGCCAAGCATTGTGCTACCGATATGGGCTGAACCATAAACTTTTTCTCTCTATAAAAATTAGTAACAATAAGTAGAATTAGCCTCATCAATGAGTGTTCATTTATTCATTGTGAGTTTGTAGGGGATTTTGACTTTCAGTTTTTCTCTTCATAGGTAAATGTAACTCGTGAAGACTCACCAAGTGAAGACCCAATCTTTCTTAGAACTTTAGGAAAAGGAGACTGGTTTGGAGAGAAAGCCTTGCAGGGGTAAGTAGATCATCACGCCACAATCCTTTCTCCTCCATTCTCCTCTCGGGATCTTGGGCACGCACGCACACGCACCCGGCATGAGTTTTAAGCCACCGGGTCTGGGGCACGAACCAGGTCCGGGACGCAGTTGACTACGTGGGAGTCCAGTGACATAGCCATTACTCTAACTGCTGGTTCCCGAAAATATATTATTTCTAGAAAGCAACTTGAAAGTTTATCAAACTATTTGGAGGTATGATTTGCAGGGAATTTGTGATATTTCTTGGCCCAATAATGTAATTTAAATTTTCTTAATATTTGAAAGGTGATGTTTTAGAATTTTTTGATAGCTTCTTTCATGAGCTAGAGGGAGACAAAGAAAAAGAGAGAAGCACCTTCAATAGAGTCTCACACCATGGTCCTCCCCCGCCCAGTTTTCCCAGCCAGTCAGGAACATGGACACACACACGTGCATCTGGTGTGCACAGGTGAACCCCAGGAATCAAACCCAGGTCTTCCACATGGCTTCCGGCATTGCCAAGCATTGTGCTACCGATATGGGCTGAACCATAAACTTTTTCTCTCTATAAAAATTAGTAACAATAAGTAGAATTAGCCTCATCAATGAGTGTTCATTTATTCATTGTGAGTTTGTAGGGGATTTTGACTTTCAGTTTTTCTCTTCATAGGTAAATGTAACTCGTGAAGACTCACCAAGTGAAGACCCAATCTTTCTTAGAACTTTAGGAAAAGGAGACTGGTTTGGAGAGAAAGCCTTGCAGGGGTAAGTAGATCATGTGCTACAGTTTTTGTCTGAGTACTACATAAATTCCATATTCGATTTTGAGCTCCTAGCAAAATAGGCTCTTCATTTAGTGTCTACCTTAATATCAGGTGTAGACAGACCATTGATGATCATTTTTTAATAATTTTTTTATTTATTAATTTTAATGATTATACATTTAATCGCTGTACATCATTTAGATTATAAAGAGACTTTACCCAGTGTGACACACACCCCAGGATCATTTTTATTTATTTCCATGCAAACTCATAATCCATTTCTATAGGCTGTGGGACTGATCAGTTAGATTCTAGTGAGTCACTCTTGTTTTAATAGGAAATATTTCTAGCTTTGTGTTTTATAATGCAATCTCTAACAATTTCAAAGGAGGGAGAACTTTCTGCTAAACTGATTTCATAGAACAATTTTATTCATAATCACAGGGAGATGATTGGTTGAAATTTCTGAAATCCCTAAACCTGATTAACAAAAAAAAAGAATCAGAAGACAGTGAAGCCTTTCCAGAGTTCACCTCTGGGTGGTGGGTGTCATTGCTGTTACTGTGGGAGCCACGAAGGGGGAGGTGGGAGCAGAAGGTAATTCACGTTTGGATTCACTGTGGGTGGTCTCTGATGGTCAGACTCGTGGAGATACAGCGGCATATGGGAGTTTTTCCCCATATGATGAAAGAAAAACTGAGTTGACTTTTTACTGGAGGCATGACAAATGTGTTTGGTTATTCTACTCTTGTTTTCTAATAAGCAATACATTTGAATTATTTGTAAAGATAGATGGGACTTTTCAAAGTTCAGTGTTTAATGTCTATGTTGGGGCTTCCAAAAGTGTGTGCAAAATGGAATTAAAGTACTCTCTTGCTTTGGTACAAAAACTTTGAGACCTGTGTGAAATTTTTCTTAATATGTATTTTTCCATGAACCTTTTTTGAAAACCCCTCATTTTCAAACCCTACCTGAATAAGATATAACCAATAAATATTTATTTTTGTATCAAGTTCAAATGAAAGAGTATCTCATAGAGTAGAGCAGCAATAGGATAGTAACTCACTCTTTTATTTATTTTAAGAGAGATTTTTGCTGTAGGGCACGTGCAATCACCAGAGAGACAGAGAGACAGAAAGTGAGAAATCCCCCCCCCCCCAGGTGGGATGGCCACACCACAATCTCTTCTCCTCCAGTCTCCTCTTGAAATTTTGGGCATGTATGACACATACACCCAGCGTGAGTTTTAAGCACCAAGTCTGGGTCTTAAACTGTATTTGACTACTTTGGGGTCCAGCGATGTAACCATACTCCATCTGCTGGTACCAACTCACTCTTAAGATGTGGAACAATTTCATTTGCATTTCAAATTGTGACTTTGTTAAAAAGAAATATTACAAGAATTTTGCTTAAAAATGCTGTGAATATGGGAACCAGCAGTTAGTGTAATGGCTATGTCGCTGGATTCCCATGTAGTCGACCGCGGTTCGTGTCCCGGACCCGGTGAATTAAAACTCACGCCAGGCACGTGTGCGTGCGTGCCCAAGATCCCGAGAGGAGAATGGAGGAGAAGGGATTGCGGCGTGACCATCCTCCCTGGGGGGTGATTTCTCGCTTTCTGTCTCTATGTCTCTCTCTGTCTGTCTGGCGAGCGCACGCGCCCTACAGTGAAAATCTCTCCAAAAAAAAAAAAATGCTGTGAATAGATAGGGAGTTTTTCTTTTCAAACCACAATCAGATGGCAGGTTTTATTATTTTTTTTTCTTACTATTTCACAGCTACAGAAATGAAACAAAAATAACGATAACCTCAAGAGATTTTTTTTTAAGAAAGAGAAATATTTTTGTCATAGGGCATGTGTGCTCGTTGGAGAGACAGAGAGGTATAAAGCAAGGGGGGAATGACCATGCTGCAATCCCTTCTCCTTCATTCTCCTCTTGGGATCTTGGGCACGCATGCACACATGCCTGGCATGAGTTTAAACTGCCAGGTCCAGGACTAGAACCACTGTCAACTATGTGAGAGTCTGACAATGTAACCATTATGCCATTTGCTGGTCCCTCAAGAGGTTTTCTTACTCAGGTCACAATACCTGATGAAAATTCAAAACTGAATGTAGTCAACTTTCTTCCTTTCTTTTACTGAATTCATTTTGATCTTTATATGATCAATATGTACTTGCCATAAGATTTTTCTAGTGTCAAAGAGATAGCATTTTTGTCTAGGTACACAAAAAATGCAATACACAGGAATTTCCTAGCATAAACTGCATGAATGTAACATTTGTACCTTAATCTGTCTGTCCTTTGAGTTTTTTATTTGTAGACAGCAGAGTAGAGTGATACCGCCTGATTTCAACAGCCTAAGAGTAAATGGAAAACAATGTCATTTCCAGCAGAGTCCCAAACCAGAGACATTTGAAGTAATTTCAGATTTAGGTTGCAAGTAGGATAACAGAAAATAAGATACAATGGAGAATCAATAGATTTTTTTTTTTTTTTTACAGAGTCTCACTATTATCATTATTCCCTGCTTTGGCCCCTCAAATAGCTAGGACTAAAGTCATACCCACCGTGATCTGCTTTTACGGTGGGCTGAATCAAACCTGAACTTCCTGTGTAGCCTCAGCCTGTGTGTGGCGGCACCAACGAGCATATACTGCTACACCTAGACCTCAGCAGATTTTCTTTTGTAGATTATTGCAACTCAGTTTTGGTGCCAATCAAAGAAAATTGTCATGGTGAAAATACCCTCCTAGAATTTGTTCTAGGAAGTGATGCTGGGAATATGGTTTATGGAAAAGGTGCCAAATTTGGCTCTGACATCAAAATTTAAATTGATGGTACTCTATCTAGATTAAATCTTTTCTAGCACGTGATTATTCTTGTGAACTGTCTGGTGCCAAGATTTTATTTTGTACGTATTTAGTCCTTTTTATCGATCATCTCCTGCAGACTATAAATTGGCCAACCCACTTCCTTATCCGTATCCAACCCCCAACAGTACCCTTTACATCGACCCACCTGTTACTCCCCTCATCTCTTTTTTCTTTCCTTTTTACTCTCACTTTCTTACTACTGAATCTGGCTTTATCACTGTATTTTAAGTGCCTTCTTAAATGTCACCAAAGATTTCCAACTCACCTTATAATATGGTCTTTCTTTTCTTCATTTGACTTCACTTCTCAGCCATGGTTTTACAGTGTGGACTACATCTTCATCTTTAAAATCTTCATCCTTCAGGATTCTTTAAATTATTGGTGTTCTTCATACTTTCTTTTTCCATTTTCTAAAAGTCACCAATATTGGTTCTCAGCTCTAATATGTACATGTTGGTAAGCTTCTCCCTGTCTATGACTGCATATTACTTTAATGAAAAGAAGACTCAAATATTTATATTTTGATTTGAGTTCAGCTTCTTGCACTTATCAGATTCAACACACATTTATTGAATGAATGAATGAATGAATGAATGAATGAAAGAATGAATGAGCTTCTTTAATGAACTTCTTTTCTGCCCTTGATCACCTTCAATATTTGAGTTTGTTTAATTGTGCTTGAGGGGTTGTGAGCTCACTTGACTATGGGGTGGGGAAGTGGAGCAAGTCAGTAATGTATTGGGTCACCAGAAAAGTCATGATGCTTTTTTTTTTTTAAGAGAGACTTTTGCTATGGGGCACATGCATTCACCAGAGAGAGAGAGACAAAGAGACAGAAAGTGAAAAATCACTCCCCCCCCCCAGGGGGATGGCCACACTGCAATCCCTTCTCCTCTCAGGATCTTGGGCACTAATTCACACGTGCCTAGCATGAGTTTCAAGACATCAGATTTGGGACTTGAACCACAGTCAACTATGTGGGAGTCCAGCAATGTAATTATTATGCCATCTGCTGGACCCATGATGCATTTCTGCATAGAAAAGTACACCATGACTTTCATAACAATCAATAAATAAGTAAAATAAGATATATAAAGCAGGAGGCAAACTGGAAGGCCTTGTATAATGACAACGGCAATTACTAAACTGCTACTTATGAGTACTTTACAAGAATGTGACCTCATCTCATCTTTTTTAAGAAAAGCAGGAAAAAGTATATTTTAAAACTAGCAGGTGGCCTGGTAGTTGAGGTGCTAGACTCTCACATGGCTGGACATGGTTTAAGTCCTGGACCCAGTGACTTGAAAATCATACCAGGTGCATGTGCGTGCATGTCCAAAATCCCAGAAGGAAATTGGAAGAGAAAGGATTGTGGCATGGCCATCCCCACTGCAGAGTTATTTCTCACTTTTCACAGCATTTCAGAATGCAGCTTACTCACTAACAAAAGTTATATGCACTTGGAATTTTTTGTTTTACTTTCTTACAAATCATTAAAATATTGATAAATTTGTGATTGGGTAAAATGAATATGTCTTCAACTGTTCTTTATTTATATCTGAGAGTGCCTAATACAAGGACTGCTGAAGCACACAGTAGGTAATTAAATGACAAGCTGAGGTGTGAACTCAGTGCCCTGTCTCCAGATTTCAACCCCTGTGAGTTCTTTCTCCAGAAATAACAAGCTTCCCTTCCTTGTCAGATGGAGGCAGTACAGTCCTGACTCTAAACATCTTATAAACTGTATTATTGATATCCATTAACCAATACCATCTCATACTAGAAAATTTGGAATTTCTTATTCTTTCACTGTGGTTGGCATAAAGTAAATTTTGCAATATTTGACTTGAGCATCTTTATTTTCTCTTTTTCTTCTCTCTTTTTTTTTTTTTTTTTTTTCTGTAATACAAGTTTGTTAACACCAGGGAGAGGGCAAACTATTTTACTTTTTACAAAAGTCCTCTCTCTAAACAGAGTTATGTTTAAAAGAAATTACTTCAGGTTTAGTCCAATAATTTATTAGTTAAGCCTTCTGCATTTTGATTTAGTATTGCTTCAGTATCTCTGACTTGAAATCATATAGGACATACATAAACATTAGATGAGATCAAAATCTGAGCCGA